CCGGGTAAGGGCACCGCGGGCGCCTCATGCTGATGAACAAGCTCAAAACCAGAACCAGCCTGTCCCCCTGACCCCGAGAATGTGCAGGGGAGACTCGGATTCCCTCCGATTTTTAAATCCCAGTTCGGAAATGAGCTGCTTGTTCATGACCTTATGCTAGAAAGTGCCCTGCGCACTGGTTGGGACACACGCGCTCTCTCTTCTTCTAAGGACATGTTTCTACTCAGTGTTTAAATTTAGGAGAAGGTGGTGCGGCCTGCTTTGATCAGACGTTACTTAGAAAGCACTAGGGAATAAGTCAGTTTGGTTTAGATAAATGTAAAACAGAGGGGTTGAAACATAAAAGGTAGAACTTAAACTCATCAATCACTGAATAGCCCCGGCTGGTTTGGCTCAGTGGCTAGAGCGTCCGTCTGCGGACTGAAGGGTCCCAGGTTCCATTCTGGTCAGGGCACAGGCCTGGGTTGTGAGCTCGATCCCGTAGGGGGCGTGCAGGAGGCAGCTGATCAGTGATTCTCTCTCATCACTGATGTTTCTCTCTCTCCCTCTCTGAAATCAATAAAAATATATTAAAAATAAATAAATATATCACTGAATCAAGGCCTTCCTGCCGTTTCTACATTGGGAAGTAAGCAGCTTCGTTGAGGAGATGATGAACTAGTTCAGCGGACGCCAACCGGTGGTCGGCGGAGCCCTGGTGGTCGGTGGGGTCTGGAAGGTTGGCGACCGCTGAACTAGGACGCTAAGAGGTGCCATGTGTTAAGCTGGTGTAGGGTTTGGCAAAATGGAAAATACATGTGGATGCAAAGCCAGACCTACGTTTCCAAAAAGCCCTTTGACCATTTTCTAATTGCCATCCCTAAGCAAGGGAGGCTCACGTTCTTTCACACAATTAACTGTAAAGACTGAACGGAACGAGCCAGCAACAAACTAACACTGAAACAAGCGCGATAGATCTACAGCCTGGAACCAGCAGTGCCGGCGTGTGTCCTGTCTCCTTTGCCAGAGAAAGGAGGGACGACCGGAAGGCCAGGCTCATCTGTTCCGTGGACGGCTACATTATTGTCATTGACAAAACACATTTCTTAGAAGAGGCTTTGATGTCTAATCACACTTCACTCAAACAAACGAACAAAAACCACAAAGCAGCCCGGCCGGATGGCTCAGGGGTTGAGCCTCGACCTATGAACCAGGAGGTCACGGTTCAATTTCCGGTCAGGGCGCAGGCCCAGGTTGCGGGCTCCATCCCCAGAAGGGGGTGTGCAGGAGGCAGCCAATCAATGATTCTCTCTCATCACTGATGTTTCTATCTCTCCCTCTCCCTCTCCCTTCCTCTCTGAAATCAAGAATATATACATATTGAAAAAAAACACACACACACACACAAAGCAGCCCTGGCTAGGTAGCTCATAGGGTTAGGATTTAGGATTAGGATTCAGGGTTAGGGGCAGGGTTAGGAGTTAGGGCAGTGGTTCCCAAACTTATTTGGCCTACCGCCCCCTTTCCAGAAAAAATATTACTCAGCCCCTGGAAATTAATTTTTTTTAAATTTTAATAGCAGTTACTCATCGCCCCCAAATGCACCTGTGGCCATCACCGCCCCCCCTGGATCGCTGCAGCGCCCACCAGGGGGCGGTAGCGCCCACTTTGGGAATCACTGAGTTAGGGTTAGGGTTAGGATTTAGGGTTAGGGCTAGGGTTAGGATTTAGGGTTAAAATTTAGGGTTAGGATTAGGATTTAGGGTTAGGGCTAGGATTTAGGGTTAGGATTAGGATTAGGATTTAGGGTTAGGATTTGGGGTTAGGGTTAGGGTTGCAGGTGTGATCCCCTATCAGGCCACATACAAGAATTAACCAAGGCACATTTCCAGCTGTGCAGACACGTTGGTTCTGTGCTCTATCTGCTATTGGGCCCCATTCAAACGGTGAAATTGCCAAAGAGAATGTGATGGTCCAACTTGGAGGTAAAATATTGGAGAAAAGTGTGAGAAATTAAAACAAGTTCTTACGTGTTATGTATATGTTCCAGAGAAAGGTCCTTACCATGGTGTTAGTGGGTTTTACATGTTGCTGTAATATCCCTTTGTCTTGTTGCATGACAGGTACAGTATATCAGAAATATGAGCCAATCTTTTTCCAGTCGATTGGAAATCCATTTATTTTTAGATGCTTGGATGGCGTGCTCATTGATGGAAATGACAAGGGAATATCGAAAGTTGTGTACAGGTAAGTTGGTGCCTATGTGTAAACTTCATTAGAGGAGACGAAACCACACAGCAATGACTATGACCAGTAGCCTTGGTTGCCCTATTGACTAAAGTGGTTTTGTAAGAGAAATTGCACTTTCTCAGTTGTAGGGTTAATTTTGTATTTTTGAATTTTAAGATTCAGAAGAACAACCTCTTGGCTAATGCTCTCACCTGTTTCAGATCTTGCAATGGAAGGGACAGACTTGGCCCTTTAAGAATGAGCGATAGCACTTGGCTAACATCAGAAATGCAGAACCCTCTGGCGGTAGGCCAGTATGTCAACAATTGCTCCAATGGTAAGTGGGCACCATGGGGTGAGAGAGAGGCAGAGTGAACACACACACACAGGCATCCCAAAAATGTAGATACACTAACAGCTGATTTCTATGACATTTTGAAAATGAAATGCATTTTAATAAACTCTGCCCTTATAATTATTCAAAGTGCATATGCATTTTGGGGGGGACACTTTATATATATGTTTTTTACATAGAAAGCCTAGCAGTGCCTAGAACATAATAGGGATTATTAATTTGAGCATGTTCTCATAATTTAGAAACTCATACAAGTGTCATAATTCAGTACTGTTTTCCATGGCTAGTGAAATGGCTGTGTCTAAAAATTACATACTTGCTCCCAGACAGACCAGCGAACGTCTGCTATCAGGAGTTTGACGTGCCCGCGGGCTTCCCTGTGGAACTGAAGCAGTACCTGCCCAACACCACCTACAGCTGTGCCCAGCAAAGGTGAGCCTCCCCGCTTGTCCCGAGCTGTGAAAAATAACTTAGATTTTTACATTCTTCACACCTTGATGTGTTAATGTAAACTTACTTGAAAATAAAAATTCTCCATGAGCTTATTTGCTCATCCTTCTTCTTATTGCCCATCTTTATTCTAGGTAGTACTTTGTAAGTATCAACCTTAAAGTTTTTTTCGAGTGATTCTGTTGTTTCTTCCAGCTACAAAAAAGCGTTTTCACTCTAGTCATTTAAGGATCGCGTCTCCACCTGACATGAGAGGACCTAGCTGAAGGGGCCGAATTACCCGTGATTTCTTCTGCTCTTTCCACTATTAGATTTGGAAACCTGATCGTGAAAAAAAGCGTAGGCCAACTATATTTAAATTAAAAAATAAAATTTTAAAAATAGTGAAAAAAGGGAAATACTCAGAAGATAACATTTGTATTACAGTATAGCAATTTTCTGCCCCGTAAGTCTACTAGAATACTCAAGTAACAGTTTTTAATAAATGAATCTGTGGAGTTACCAACAATGCTGTAGGAAATGTAATCTTTGTATCACTTCACTGAGTTGCCATTTGTTAGCAAACTTAATTTGTGTGGGTCCTAGTGTCCTTTTGAAATGAATGGTATTTAAAGCTGAAGACTGTTCCCTGTCCTTAAAACTTGGTAACTTTTCTCCGTGTGTGTTGGGTATTGACGTTTTCTTTAACATCCTCTGGGGCACAGCGCGTTACTACCCAACCAGTACCGGAAACCCTACATGAGCAGGAACATTGGAGATTACACCTCTTGCCCTGGCCGGTGTGCTCAGTGGTTAGAGAGTCGGCCGCACATGGGACAGTCGGTCTCGGGTTCGATTCCCCATGAAGGGCACATGCCGGGTTGCAGGTTAGATCCCCAGACCAATAGGGTATGTGCAGGAAGCAACTAGTCGATGTGTCTCTCTCACATCAATGTTTCTCTCTCTCCCCCCTCCCACTTTCTCTAAAAAAAAAATCAATGGAAAAGGTATCCTCAGGTGAGGATTAACAAAACAAAAAAAGATGATGTCTTGTTGTGTCCATAAAAAGTATTTTTTAATCCAGTTAATTTCAAGTAATGTTTCTAGCTTTGCAGAATACAAACATACAAATTCTAAAATGCTAAACGTATAATGAATATCACTTTTAAATGCTTTTTTTGTGATACCAGTTTTGAGGACCTGAGCATCAGTGTTCAGTAGTCAGTTGTATGAACTTATTGATCTGCCCTGGCTGGTATGGCTCAGTGAATAGAGCATCAGCCTGCGGTCTGACGGGTTCCGGGTTCCATTCTAGTCAAGGGCACATGCCCGAGTTGCGGGCTCGATCCCCAGTAGGCAGGAGGCAGCCGATCAATGATTCTCTCTCATCATTGATGTTTCTCTCTCTCTCCCCTCTCTCCCTTCTTCTCTGAAATCAATAAAAATATATTTTTAAAAAGAAAATTTTAAAAATTTAAAAATAAACTCATTGGCCTGTGGTCTTTTTAAATGACAGATAGTCTACTTTTAAACACTTCCGTCAGGGACAGCTATAATTTAAAAATAAACTCACTGGCCTGTGGAATTTTTAAATGACATATAGTCTACTTTTAAACACTTCCGTCAGGGACAGCTATTGCCTCGTGGAGATCAAGTGCATCAACTAAGAAGATGGTAAGGGATGTGAAACCGTATTGGCTCAATGACCCGCGCTCTCTGCCAGCACTAACTCGGGTGTTTCTTGCTTTCAGGCCGCTGCGCTGCGTCGTTCTCGTTGCTCTCAGGGACGTCAGACAAGGAGAAGAGCTTTTCTCAAACTACTACACGGTTGTCAGCTGACTCTTTGAATAAGGATCGGGTTTTCTATTCAATTCATGTTAATATTTTGGTTAATCACTTCTGAATTCGAGTGGGAATTTATTTCTATTTTGTTTCAATTCCATGATAAAAATTATTTGCTCAATTTCAATTTCAAATTTGCAGTGCTATTCCAATTTTCATTTTCACCTAAATACAGTAATTAAATTAAAACCTACTGCCTGAATTTATAATTTTTCTTTTAATATATCTTGTGTCCATCTACATGTGTGGTTATAAAATGTTAGCCAAGTTATCAGCAATTATTTTACTGTTGATGTATATGAACTTCTGAAAAATGTTTTTCTAGAATAAGCTAAAGCCAAACATTTTTTGTTCCCATGAGTTAATTGGTGTGTGTGTAAAGACTGTTTTAGCTAAGGGAGAAACGGGCGGGGGGTCATACCATTTTCTCTATTTGCACATTTACACAGAGATTAAAGCAGCATGAGACTGTTTGGCATGTGGGGGAACACCGGCACGAGCGCTCCTGTCTCCACGTGGCGTCCCCGACGCATGTGAATGCCGGGTGCGCCTAATGAGCCCGTGTGCATCAGGGCCAGAGGCCTGGGAGAGGTCAGAGACGCCCCAGGCTCAGAGCCTGCCACTGACGGCGATTGTGGCCCGAAGGGACGAGGCCTGGGAGTCACCAGATGATTCTGCTCCTGCCCCTGAAGGCCTGAAACACTGTGTAGCTCTCACGGGGCACCTGGCTGCCTTCAGACGCCGCCCGGAGGGCAGTGTCCCCGAGCCCTGCACAGCGAGCTCGCTGGTGTCTGCGGGTGAAGGAATGTGCTTTTAGACAAGTAACCAGAGCGGAGGAGTCAGGGTTTCGTTTCCATCTTCCCTCTCCTGTCCTTACACAGAATCCCGACATCGTGTGCCATCAGATCGGAGACTAAGGGAGCCACAGAGAAAGCTCTGGTCAGAGCAAGGGGCGTGGGGGACGCCTGGGAAAGCTAAAGGCTTAGGGAAGTCGTTCTAGAGTCGACTGAATGTGACTATTATGAAGAAAACTACCATAAATATGTCAAATAATGTGACCAAATTTCAGGTATCATGTCTTCTTAGAAGCCACTTACAACAGTGTTTGACACATTAAGATGTTCATTAAATATTTCCTGAATTAAATTTAAAGCATAATCCTCACTTTGGGATGGCTAGTTTTATTATAAATGAAAATTATTATAGAGAATTTACAGAAAACTTACTTCATCTACCAAATACCTTATTTACTCCATCTAAAACCAATTTAATAGTGGTTAAATATCTACCTGTGCGTCATAGCTTAAGACTTATTAAATAAAACCTATTTGTGGCAAATATTCACACAAGCCAAGAAAGAAAAAAAAGATTTCCAGATGTTTATTTCTGGAAGTGTACAGGTATTAAAGTACAACAAATACAAAATAATGCTCAAAAAAATCAGTGTTTATGTACAAATATTAAAATCAATGCAACAATAGCAACTTCCTCTTGAATATCTGTTACTAAGACTTGTTCTGATTGTCACTAATTCATTTCACTCACAGGGTACTTAGCTCAAACTGGGACCATTGGATCACTGGTTTTCTAAGAGGAATTTTAATATCTACCATATTTAATAAAACTAATAGCTTCCTCCTTTTAGTGAAAAATTAAGAACTTTTTAAAAAAACATAGTAATGTCAATATTCTTGTAAATTATTTCAATCTCCATTTGTAGACAATGTGCTTTGAAACTGGGCAAACAATCTCCTGGTGGTCAGGTTCTTCCATTAGTTTACATTCAAAGTTGAAAGAAGAGTCACTGACTTTGGTTAAATTCAATAGTTAAAATCACTCTGCTCTGTGAGAGCCGACGTCCAAACACTCAGGACCCTCAATCGTACAAATTACTAGGAAACCATTGCACAATGCTTTGACCTAATTGTACACACTTTAGTATCGTGTAAAATTACTCTACATCCTTCAAGTAAATTCAGCAGCTGACCGAGGAGCAGGCGCTGAGCAGCGCCAGCTCGGCTGCCGGGAAGTATTGCTCGAGTCGCAGCACCATCGCACCCACCACTGTCCCCAAGTCTCCGCAGAAAAGACGCGTCGGCCCACACTGCAACCGCTCACCATGGATTTTTGGTTTGTTCGTATGAAAATAACGCAGCGAAGGAAAAAAACAAAAAGAATTTATCACCGTTTGTCACAGAATTGTGCTTAGCACTTGATAATAAAGGCATCGTTGTCTCTTCATCTGACTGCAAATCCATTATCTTCATGCTCTCAAACGCAATTCTTCTGATAAACAGTAACAAATTCTGTGTTAAGATGCCTCAATGGAGAGGGGGAAACAGTCAATCCAGCTTTTAAAAGAAAATTCAATAAATAGCTATTTTACATGGACAAAGTGGTATAGTTTATGTATGTCACATCAAGCATGCACAAAAATGGTATTATACATGGCAGACGCAGTCAAAAAATACGGAATCAGATCTAAAAAGATAGGAAGAATTTACACATATATACAAAAATCTTGCAGATTATTGCCTCATTTTAATAAGGAATTAAAAGTAAACATGGCCAGCCTGCCAGCACTCTCTAAGAGGCTGAGCCAGCTTGGCATTTAAACATCTATGAAGCTAGCTGGAGTTTATGTTTCTCTCATATCATTTTCTGAATTTTGGTCAAAAATCTTTATTCAGACAACTAACGTGTCCATTCCACTTGCTGATCATCAAAACCTGCGATAAGAAACAGCGTTTCCATCCTGATCGAGCCCCAGCGATGCATCGCTACACTGACTAGACCGTGGTGCCGGGCATGGGCGTGCTCTCAGTGTGGCTGGTGTTAGCGCTCGACCATCTCTGTGTAAATTACGTCACACCGACCAGCCACTGTAAACCTAGTGAAAATTAAAGTCGTAACAATGGAAGATTATGGCCAGTATCTTACTAAATCATAGAAGTTGTACTGATTCTTAACAAAAGAATTAAGGTCCAAAGCTTAGCACACCACCACAGCAGTCAACGCTGACAGCGCAGATAACGCTGACAGTAGCTATGGGCAGCACACAGCCCAGGCTGCCCCTAGCTGCTGTGGGCACACAGGAATGCTAGGCTTCAGATCTATAAATTAGAGACTGATTTTAAGTTATTAACTTACCTACTTTTGTCCACTGTGCTAAACTAAAGTTTATGGTCAATGTGCTATACTGTGTAAACACTTCAAAGCAATCTTCATTAAAATGCTGCAAAGAAAACAAGACTACGCTTCATCCAAACCCAGGATGTCATTGCAGTTCACAGTCTGTGTAATAAATACCCTCCCTGCCCACGCGGCTAAGGTCGCTACCATCTACCTACGCGCCAGCACCACCTCGAGGTGACGTAGACTCACACGATCGGCAATGCGGCCACACGTTTCAGCCGTCTGCAAAGCAAGACACTCGCAGAAACAGAAGATTCTAAAAGCGGTGCAAATAGAAAAGTCAGTCTGTGTCTTAACTGAAATAGAAAAGCAAGCTCAGTCCGTCCTAATACTGTACTGCATGTTGTGAGTTCACCTGATCACCGCGATGCGTGTCAATGGAGCACAATGGCCGAGGTTTCTGACAACAGCCTCTCGGTCACATGATGTCTGCGATGGAGGAAAACTGAGCTCGAGCGCATCTGAGTGCCTAAACCTGCTTATAACTGAAAGTGGTCAAGTACCGTTCTAGTTCAGGTAGTAACTCACATTTTTCTTGTCACCTGTTCAAATTAAACAAAACATATAAGTCTACTTGAAGGTTCTCCTGCCGCATGTAGAACCCCGACGTCCCTCCTCGGCATTCACGCTGAACTGCAGTGCTGCCAACGCGTCCCACAATGTAAACAGGAGCCTGCCCGCCAGGCCACTGCCCCGGGACAGGCTCCGCCATCGGTGGCCGGTGTGGCTTTTCCAATCACAACCTTGACCAGGGTGGACAAAGCCCATCTGGATACACATCTTCACACGCCCGATCTGTAGCAATCAATGAAGCTCATAAATCTCCTGACCGTAAAACAAGCCATTCTGTGGAAGGTGCCCTGGCCGAGAATCCAGAAACATCCAAGCGTCTGCGCTCTGCGCACAGCCCCTCGCCGGCTCCCAGAGGTGGACGTGCTGTTTGTAAACGGAAGTGCTCTAGCTGAATAACATGAGAGAAGTTTCCATTTTAAAAAACCTTTGCATGTCTGTGCAGTTTTAAGAAACCTACCCCTGCTTTTGCTTAATTAAGAAAATCAAAAAATGCTACATTTAGCAGGGATCAGGGTCGGCACCTGTAAACACTTATTCCACTGCATCCGTTACGGCAAAAGGAACTTACACGAGAAGCCACTCCCTTCGGTCCTGAACATGTGCTGGTTTTGAGCTGGTGGCCTGTCTACAGGTTTTAAACGTGGGAGCGTAAGAGACTGGAAAGGAGGGGAGTGGAGAGGTCTGGGAGGTGAGGGAGAGAGCAGAGCTTAAAGCTGCACTGGAGTCCAATCTTCGTTCCCAGCTCTGCTGCTCATGGTTTTCCACATTTATGGATTGAGAAACGAAAATACTCTTGATAAATCAAGATAAGAGTTCTATACATGCTGACATCACTGACGTCATAGTGAAAACGTTCAAGCTTCCAGTGAAAGACTAAGCCAGCCCAACGTGTCCTTGCGCTCACTGGGCTGCAGGCCGCTGCCGGTCACTCGGAGTGGAGGGCGGCATTCTGGTGCAGGGCGTGGGCACTGATGAAGCCATTGGCCTCGCTGGTGGACAGGCTGCCAAAGTCAGCCACGGACACGGCCATTTTGGCACTGGCGATGTGATGTGTGTGGCTTTCAAAGTCCACACCCAGGTTATTCACAGAAACCTCACTCATAAAGGGTTCAGGAACAGCAAGGCCCATTTTCAATCTCTTTGCTGGCCTTTCGGACTCCTCACTGCACAGGGTCATGGGGTTCAGCTCCGAGGGGTAAAACCCCGTCTCAAACAGGTTGAAGCAGTCGCTCTCCCCGTTGCTGGGCAGGGCGAGCAGCTCCTCTGTCACCACAGGCACGGGAGTCACTGGGCCGCGGGGCATGCTGCCCAGGGGAGGAAAGCCCTCCTCCACGCAGCTCACAGCCCCGGGGGGCGCGGCACTGCCGGTCAAGGCTGGAAAGGAGGAAAGGAAAGGGTTAAGTGCGTGGTCCGAGGACGTGAAGGAGAGGACTCCAGGCCCAGAGCTGAGCAGCAGGGGCCGCTTTACCTGTCAAGTCCCCTGCGGTGAAGGAGTTGAGGATGTTCAGCTGCGGGTCGGGAACAGGGTCAGGGCGGGTGGCGGTTAAGCCGGGAGAACTGACCGTCCCCCCCAGAGCTTCTGTCTCATCCACCAGGCGGTCCATGTAGTCCGTCACTCCGGGGTGGTGGTTGTAGCGCTTCTTCCCGAACCGCGTCTGCTGCGCGAAGTAGTCGTAGCGCTCAGACTTCTTCCACATGTAGTAGAACGCCACGCACTCCGCCACCGTTCTGGTCTTCACCTGCCAGAGGTGGATGTTTAAAAACAGACCCAATACTCTTTTCCTTATTACCTCTTTTTCTACAACACTAGTCACTTCAATCCACGGGACACTTCCCATCCTCCCAACGATGAAATCCTGAAAACGTGATTAGCGAAATGCCTTTACATTTACACTACTTAGTAATGAGGCCACCTTCAAAAGCCCAAGGTTTGTTTTTTATTTAAACCAAACTGTACTAGTTTATAATAAATGTGCATCTACCAGTCACCTCTGCCCTCAATGGAGCCCTCACACACCGGCCCCGTTACTTCTCTGTGCTGCCCTCTCTGACTCTGGCTGCAGCAGGTCCCTGACCCGAGGGCTGGCCATGAATGGGCGTCGGGGGAAGCCATGAATTCCTGACGTTACACGCAGGCCCCCTTTTCCGGAAAGGACTGCAGCCTCCTCATACTATCAAAGGGTTCCATGATCCTAAGGAGATTTGGGATCCCCTTGGAGATGGAACCAGCACCTACTGCATCTGGAATTTAGGGGATTTTCTGTCTAAAAGTGGGGCTCCCTCCGCACGCGTTTGGCTCTTGGCTCCCCATCAAAACAGGCGCCTATGTTCAGTGCAGGGAGGAGCTCAGACCCGCAGACACAGCTCCATTGCTGACCTGGTGCCCAAGAACAAAG